TATTAATGTTCTATAGATATTGGACAGATTTTAGTATAGGACAACAATATTATATATACTTTTCAAGTACAGACCAAGTTCTGCCTATGTTTTTTTTAAAACAGAAATTACTGTAATTCTTTTTGCTCTTATTATAGCATCTAAAAACTGCAATATTTATTTTATTTTTTTTTAATATTAATGATAAGGCAATAGAATTTTATATTTATATTAATTTACAATAGTTATTAAAAAATATAATAAAATAACCAAAACCTTTGATAGGCATAACTCTATGAGATAATTAGTTGTTTATTCTTAATTACTGAATTATTAAATCAGATCAATTGTGTATTTACAAAAAAATTTCTTGAAAAATATATAAATTGTAAAAAATATATAAATTATATTAATTATTATAATTTTATAACAATACTAGCATGAAATTATATCATAATAATGACTAATTAAGATAAAAATTTTTTTGTCATTATGAGAAAAATATTATAATAGTTATTTTTATTTGAAAAAAAAATTATAAAAATGTAGTACTAATTTTGGTACAAAAAAAAATGTGATTATGAAAACATTATATAATATATTACTTTATATTAATTGTTATTATTACTATAATAGTAGTTACAGTTTTTTATTTAATAATAACTTCTTTAATTATTTTATATTTAATTCTGAAAACTGAAGATAATTATAATAAATAATTATGAGCAAGTATACTTGCAACCAAAAATCTAAAGTTTCAAAATTTATTATTTAAAATTGAAAATTATGTAATATTAACTATTACTAAAACTTTATAAATTATTACCATTAATTAACAATTAAAATAATAGTAATAATGTTTGTGAATTATAATAAAATAAGTTAACAAACATGATTAATAGTAATCATGTACAAGATTACACTCTAAGATAGAACTGATTATGTTTTGAATATGGGTTACAACTTCTACTATCAAAACAAAAAAGCTTTTGTTATAATTTAATATTAAAATATGTTATTTTACCATTATGACCTTTACCACCTGTTTTGCAAAGTCTTTATATATTAAACCTTAATAATAATTTTGGTCATATTAGTTATCAATACAATTCACTTTTTTTATTTACAACAATTGGCTATACAGATAATATAATTAGTTTGCTGCATTCTTATACATTTACTATTAATAGTCATGCATATTATCAAATTTATTCTGCCAACACAAAGAGTTATTCAATTAACTAGTTTTTCTATAATGCTAATGCATAAAATTTTGTTGTTATACAACATGGCCTAGATCAGAACATAGTTAATCTAATTAAACAAAAACTATTAGCAGTCAATTCATTTATTCAAAGTTTATATTAACTATAAAACATGAATTATTTATAAGCTCAATTAATAGTTCAATAGCCAACAACTAATGCTAAAATTGCTACATGCACAATTGTTCATTCAACAGCTATAATTAAAGAATGATGTGTGCAAATTTGGCATATTAATGATAACAAACCTAAATACATCAATATTCTTAATAAAAATTATAAACATTACAATATTCACTTATTTTCTTATGAAGAAATAGGTTGGCATATGTATTAAATAGACTGTAAAAACTCTAAAACACAAAAAATTTTATAGGTTAATTATTATTACTACTGTTTTATAACTAAAACTAGGTTTTATTTACTTGGGTAACTGTTTAATAAATATTTAGTAGATATGTTTAGCTAAGCAGATAATGAATACCTGCAGTTTATATATAAAAATCAAGGTAGATTTCAAAAAAAGTATTAAAAAGAAGATAAATCACTTAGAGATAAAGCAAATTTGCATCTTGAAAATATTTACTTATTAGCATTACATATACTTTCATATAAATAGTCTTATAATAAAACAATAAATGCTTTTGCAATTGTAAGTAAACTTGGTTGGCCAACACTCTTTATTATATTTACTACAAATCCAAATTGGCAAGAAATACAAGACCATTTTTATGTTAGTCAAAATTATGCTAATCGATTTAACATTGTAGTACATATATTTAAACAATATTTATTCCATTTATGTGAACTAATAAAAAGTATTTTGGTAAAATCATATACTATATGCATGCAATTGAATTTCAAAAATGTGGCTTATCACATATATACATAATAATTAAATCAAGTCAAATCTATTTCAACCTAAGATATTGATAAAGTTATTTATGCTAAACTGTTTGTGAGAGATAATTTTTGACAAAGCCATCTTCTTAATTTAGTTAAACAGTTTATAATTTCCAAATATAGTTAAAGGTAAATGTAAAAAACTAACAAGTATTAGTAGAATTACTCTAAATCAATCCAAGAACATACAACAATTGATAACCAAAGTTATGTTAATTATTAATATTATACTGAAATAACATTGATATCATATCATATAATGCTTATCTTTTAATAAAATTAAATCTCTTATAAATATCAAAGTAGCTTTTAAATTACATGTAATTTCTTATCTATACAAGTATATATATAAAGGACCAGATTAAGCAGAAATTACAATTTAAACAGAAGAAAATAGTAAATTAGAACATAAAATGATTGATGAAATAAAAGATTATTTTAATGCATGATATTTTTCTGCCATGAAAGCAGTTTGGTATATTTTTAAATTTAAAATAACTTCATAGTTATCATCTGTAATATGCTTACTAATTTATTTATCTGATGAACAAATTATTTTATGTAAAAATAATAAAAACAATTTTTCTATATTACAACAATATTTTTTTCATCTAACAAACTCCAAATTTGATAATTTTACATATTGTAAATATAATGAATCATATTATTTCAATTATGCAGAAAATATAACCAACTAACAATTATTTCTACCAAATGCTTATTTGGAGAAAAAACAAGTAAGGTGTTATCAATGCATTGTTAAACTTTATAAACAGAATTATATACATATTATATGAATAAATATAATATGCCCATATGAGAAGAAAAATATTATCTTAGTATGCTTTTAAATTATCATGCAGCATAATCTTTTGAGGATTTAAGAAAAATAAATAGAATACTATACTCTATTTTCAAAAATGCAGCATGTGGCTAGATTTATTAGATGATATGAATGAACATGAACAATGTTTTGCCAAAGCTGTATCATATCATTGTACATTAGAACAACTTTATTTACTTTTTGTCACTTTATATTAAAAAATATGACCACATAAGCTATATGGCAAGATTATTACAGAATTCTATTAGAAGATTATATAAATAAAAAAAATAATTTACAACAAGAAGAAAATAAAGCACTGGTATGGATCATCAACTTTTTAGAAGAACATGATTATAACATAACACAATATGATTTACTTCAACTACATGGTCATCTTAATAAAATAATACAAATTAAACAACAAATAAATGACTACTATGCATTAGTTAAGAAAAGTAAAAAAAATAGTACATTAACTAAATTTCGAACAAAAAAAAATTTATCAAGAAATTATGAATTATATATATATAAATAAACCTTTAACAATTTTTATCAATAGATGTGCAGACTGTAATAAAACTTAAAGTAAACACTATATATACTGCAATAAGAAGTTTATATAAAATATTTCTTTCTTGTGCTACAACTGGATTAGTAGCACTTAATTATAATAGAGGCTATACTATACATTTATTATTTCAAATTTCAGTAGAATATAATGAAAATATATGTAAATGTAAAATTAATACTAATAGTGAACATGCTGAATTATTAAAGAATCATTTGCCATATTATAGGATGAACTACCAATAGCTCAAAAAGATGATATTGAAGTAGTAGACATACTACTTTATAAACTTTGTAACTGCAACTTACTATTTGATAGAAAAATTTTATTGGTGTAAGAGATTTTTACCAAGTTGCTTTTATAGTACTATCTGCAGGGCATATTATTACAATATTCGAATCAATAAAATCATTTCTAATCTGAAATAGATTCAGAGTTTATAATCTTCAAAAGCTAGTTAGAGATGCAAACAACCCAGAATATTTACAACTCATAGATGATATCAGAAATGGTATTACTAGAAAAAATGTTATTTTGTCTTTGCTAAATACAACATATAATCTAAATAATATAATTAATTTTGCTTTCTCTATGCATGTACTAAACAACTCAGCTACATGCCTTCATCAAGCTATTCTTTGTTCATTAAATGCAGAAGTGAATTTTATTAATAATACTATCTTACAACAACTAAAAAGTAATACAATTGACTTATATAGTATAGACATTCTGGCAGATAGCAAAGATAACACTATTTAAGAAATTATATATTTTAAGGAAACATGGTTACTACTAAGCTATTGAATTTATTCAATGCATCTGGAATATCTAAACACTGCCTTATACTAAAATGTAGCTGCATAGCAACTATAATGTACAATCTTTTATTGCATAATAAACTATATAAAAATAACAGAATCATAATTGTAAACATTAGTTATAGATTAGTTATTGTGAAAAACCCTTAACAGATTGTATTGTACATTTATCACAAATAACTTTTCTATTTTATGTTTCATATTTTTTATTCAAAATTAGCTGTCATCAATTTTCTTTATGCTTAGCATATTCTTTAATATTTAATTTTTTACAGGAACTAATATTAGATCAAGTTGTGCTTGACTTATGTACATTAGTATTTAGTCATGATTAACTTTATACTACTCTAACATGAGTTTATAAATAAAATCACATATTAATACTTACTGAAAAAAGACACCTACTAAATTCTTTTATTACAAAAAATATAGTATATTCAAAACTTATTAACTGAAATTATAATAATAATAATAAACAATAATTTAATATATAAATAAATATAAAAATTATATATGAACATTTTTAATAAACTTTTAATAAACATTAAAGACTAAAATTGAATTTTATAAACAATAAAAAAACAACTAACACATATATATATATTAAAAACAAACTATATATAAAAACAAACAAAAAATATTTATTCTCTTTCATTATTGATATCTGCATTATGTGACTTTAAAGAACTAAACAAAGAATGGCTTACATAACTTTTACCATTCTTGCTGTCACAAAAACTTTTAGAATGTTTCTTCTTTTTTACTATCTTTTTAGTTTAAATAAATAATTATCATTCACATCAACTTTAGCTGATTGTAAATCAATTTCTTTACTACTATCAAAAATTTTCACAGGCTTATCAGTTTGCTCAGTTATTGCACATTTTATAAAATAAAATTGATTATCATTTTCAAAGCCACTTAAACTCTTGCTGTTATAAAATCTTTTAACATTTTTTCTTTTTTACTACCTTTTCAGCTTCAACATTTTGATTATCATTTACATTAACTTCATCTAATTGTAAATCAATTTCTTTATCACTATTAAAAATATTTACAGACTTAGCAGTTTGTTCAGTTGTTGCATGTTTTATAGAAAGAAATTAATTATTGTTTTCAAAGCTACTTAAATTTTTAGAAAAAGATGTCTTAACTTCAAAGCTCTCTTTCAAATTTTCAATAACATTGTAATAAGTTATAATAAGTTTTGATCAAATTGTATTTACAGCCTTCAATGAATTATGAAAACTAATATTATTAAAATGTTTTTGCTTTAATAAAAATTGCATATTGATGTAATTAATATCTTTTGCATAGACATAAAAGTTATTACTAATAATTTCTATTAATCTTACAACAAAAATAAGTGAATCCTGTAAATGAATTATATTTTTAAAATGAGTAAACTGAGAATTTGAATGTTGAAATTTGATTTTAACAACAAAATTAATCTCTTGATCTATATAATTATTTATTAAAATATTAAAAATAGCATTTTTATCATTTCCAATCACATGTAATAATTCCTGAGAAATTTTAATTGAAGAAACTTTTAGAAGGCATTTATTACATCAATAGCTCTACTAGAAGCATCTACATCAGTAGACACAGAAACTGTTATCTATAAAATAAATATAATAAGTATATTTCATAATTAGTAATCAATAAAAATAATATTTAAAAATAACAATTACTTTTGGTCTTTTAACATCTTCATAATATGTAAAAATAACTTTATCACCAATTGAATAAAAGCCATCTCTTTCAAAAATAGCTTAAGTCTTAGGATCTCTCTAATTAGAATTAACAGAAACAAACAAGACTATTTCAATCTCATTATCTTCACAGTCTACTGGATATATACTAATGGCTTATACAATCATTAAATTATTATTATTTTTATTTTCAGATCTACAAATACATTTAATTCTTATAACAATATCTGCATAACATAATATAACAAAAATTTAATTCACAAAATAATTAATTAAAAAGATAAATTACAACACTTTATATATAACCATTTAAATAAATAAATAATTTATATATATATTATTAAAAATATTTATAACTATTAAATAATAATATTATTATTATTAATTAAAAAAAATAATCTAAAAATTAACTTATAGTACTAAAACTTATTTATTATAATTTTTAATGAAGTAATTTTGATTAATATTTAAAAAAAAATATATAATCAAAAATATATTATATCATCTATATATATATGATTTTGTGACATAATTACTAAAACTATAATTATAAAAATTTCCTATCTAATTCAAAATTCTGCTATTTTGAATTAACAAACATTATAATAATAATATAAATTTAACTAATATAATGCAAACAATTACCCTAAAAATTATATAATATTAAAAAAAATTGATATCATAATTTAAACTTCATGTGAAATTTTAAATAAATTATAAACATTATATTAAAATCATAATATAACTATATAAACAATTTCATTAATTTACTCTAAAACATTATTGTACATCTCCAACATTAATTAAAATATCTTCCAAATTAACAAACAGTCACAATGTAACCTTCAACTACTTAACTCTACTAACCTATCTTGTACTCAACTATGGCTTCAACATATTTACTCAATCTGAAAACAACTTTTTCATACATGTTATCTTGAAAACTCCCTTCTACTTCAACAACAAATCAACAAAGCTACTAACAAAAAATGTGTTACTCTTATAACACATCCTATACAAGCAATTAATAGCATCCTTAATCACTACCATTAACCTATTTATTTTTCCAATATAAAATTGTCTTATAAGCTTATAACTAATCCATTACTCATTAAACAGCATGTTCAATCACATTTTTATAACTGAACTGCATTTAGACCTATTAATGAAACTCTTTTTGATAATTTTTGACAACAACATTATCTTCCACTTCCTTATATTAACCCAACCTGCTATTAATCTCTGAACTTCCTTATTACAAATAAAGAACTCTCTTAAACTCTCTTACAACTTCCTAACAACAAAGCCTGTAGTCTTACATGCATTAGTTATAAAATGCTCAAACACATTGGCCCTGAATGCACTTCTGCTATTACTAGCCTTTTTACCTATTGTCTTTTTAAAAATAGAATTTCTAAGTAATAGAAACATAGCAGAATTTATTCTATTTCAAAACATAACTCCTTTAATAGTAATCTTAATCTTACTCAACTTATTAGTCTTGTTGAATATATTCACAAACTATATACCAAAATTCTTATAAACAGACTAAGTATCATATTTTTTTCTAAGCCTATTCTTTTACCTTTTATTTATATTGCACTTCCTAATAATAGTACTTCAATCCTCTTGGACTACTAATCTTAAACTTCAAACATTTAACTCATTACAAAAACAATGCTCAGTCTTGGCATATATGAA